AAAAAACTTTTTAGTTTGAGTATGCTCCATTTGTTAATTCTTGATTTTAACTCTTGTGCTATAGGTGTCATATTAAGGAATTTGGAGCCTGACCCCATGAGACGGAGAATAGAGCCAACTTTTTCTTCTATCAGACGCAGAGTTTCTGATTTGATATCAAGCTCCTTGATCCATTTTGAGTTAACTTTTGTGCATGGCGAAAGAAAGGGATTCAGTTTCATTTTGTTGCATATGGATTTTCAGTTTTCCCAGCACCATTTGTTGAAGGTGCTATCCTTTCTCCATTGAATGCTTTTAGCACCTTTGTCTAATACAAGATAGTTGTAATTTTGTGGATTGGTCTCTGTGTCCTCTATTCTGTACCATTGGTCTACCTGCCTGTTTTGATACCAGTACCATGCTGTTTTTGTTACTATTGTTCTGTAGTATAAAGTCTGGCATCGCTATTCTGCCTGTTTCACTCTTCCTGCTTAGAATTGCTTTTGCTATTCTGGGTCTTTTATTTTTCCAGATGAATTTCATGATTGCTTTATCTATTTCTGTGAGAAATGCTGTTGGGATTTTGATTGGCATTGCATGAAACCTATAGAGTACTTTTGGTAATATTGCCATTTTAATGATGTTAGTTCTGTCTACCCATGAACAAGGTATTTCCATCTTCTAAGGTCTTCTTCTATTTCTCTCTTTAGGGTTCTGTAGTTTTCATTGTATAGGTCTTTCACCTCTTTTGTTAGGTTGATTCCTAAGTATTTTATTTTTTTTTTTGAGGATATTGTGAATGGGGTGGTTGTCCTCATTTCCATTTCCAAGGATTTGTCACTGATATACAGGAATGCCTTTGATTTATGCATGTTGATTTTATATCATGCCACTTTGCTTAATTCATTTACTAGCTCTAGAAGTTTCTTGGTAGAACATTTTGGGTGAGCTAGGTATAGGATCATGTCATCCACAAATAGTGCTAATTTAAGTTCTTCCTTTCCTATCTTTATGCCTTTAATTTCTTTTGTCTGTCTAATTGCTCTGGCCAGTGTTTTGAGAACTATGTTGAATAGAAGTGGTGAGAGAGGTCATCCCTGTCTTGTTCTAGATTTTAGAGTGAATGCCTTCAATTTTTCTCCATTTAGAATGATGCTAGCCTGAGGCTTAGCATAGATAGCTTTTACAATGTTGAGGTAAGTTCCTGTTATCCCTAGTTTTTCTAGTGTTTTCAACATAAATGGATGCTGTATTTTGTCGAATGCTTTTTCTGTGTCTATCAAGATGATCATATGGTTCTTATCTTTAAGCCTATTGATGTGGTGAATAATATTTATTGATTTTCATAGATTGAACCAGCCTTGCATCCCAGGGATGAATCCTATTTGATCATGGTGCACAATCTTTTTGATGTGTTTTTGCATCCTATTTTCAAGAATTTTATTGAGGATTTTTGCATCTAAGTTCATTAGAGATATTGGTCTGTAGTTTTCTTTCTTGGAAATGTCTTTGTCTAGTTTCGGAATCAGGGTGATGTAGGCCTCACAGAATGAGTTTGGAAGAGCTCCCTCTTTTTCTATTTCCTGAAATAACTTGAAAAGCATTGTTATTAGTTCTTCTTTAAAGGTTTTGTAAAACTCTGCTGTATATCCATCTGGTCCTGGGCTTTTCTTGGTAGTCTTGTGATGGCTTCTTCTATTTCCTCCATTGATATTGGTCTGTTTAAGTTGTGTGTATCCTCCTGACTCAATCTGGGCAAATCATATGACTTAAGAAATTTATCGATGTCTTCACTATCTTCTATTTTATGGGAAAATAAAGTTTCAAAATTATTTCTAATTACCTTCTGTATTTCTGTAGTTTCTGTTGTGATATTGCCTTTTTCATCCCATATGCTAGTAATTTGAGTTTTCTCTCTTCTTCTCTTCATTAGCATGGCTAAGGGTCTGTCGATCTTGTTTATTTTTTCAAAGAACCAACTTTTAGTTTTGTCAATTTTTTCAATTGTTTCTTTTGTTTCAATTTCATTGATTTCAGCTCTGATTTTAATTATTTCTTGCCTTCTACTACATTTTCTGTTGTTTTGCTCTTCTTTTTCTAGGGTTTTGAGATGAAGTGTGAGATCATTTATTTGTTGTTTTTTCTTTTTTTGAGGAATGAACTCCAAGCAATGAATTTCCCTCTTAGAACTGCTTTCATTGTGTCCCATAGATTCCAATATGTTGTGTCTGTATTTTCATTTATCTCTAAGAATTTTTTGATTTCCTCCTTTATATCTTCTGTAACCCATTGATTATTCAGTAACATATTGTTCATTCCCCAAGTAATGTAGGATTTTTCCTTCCTTGTTTTATCATTGATTTCCAGTTTCATTCCATTATGATCAGATAAGATGCATGGTTTTATCTCCACACCTTTATAATTTCTAAGAGTTGCCCTATGGCATAATATAAGGTCTATTTTTGAGAAGGATCCATGTGCTGCTGAGAAAAAAAGTATATCCCCTTGATGATGGTTCATATATTTTATATATGTCGGTTAAGTCTAGGTTATTAATTGTGTTATTGAGTTCTATAGTTTCTGTATTCAACTTTTGTTTAGAATATCTGTCCAATGATGAGAGAGGTGTGTTAAAGTCACCCATAATTATTGACTCTTGAATTGAGGAGTTTGTTTTATGAATGTAGCAGCACCATTGTTTGGTGAATAAATATTGATAATTGTTATGTCTTGTTGGTGAATGATTCCCTTTAACAGTATATAGTGTCCTTCTTTATCCCTTTTGATTAACTTAGGCTTGAAGTCGATTTTATTCAATATGAGGATGGCCACCCCTGCTTGCTTCTGAGGACCATGTGAATGGTATGATTTTTCCCAACCTTTCACCTTCAGCCTGTGCATGTCTTTTCCTATCAGATGAGTCTCCTGGAGGCAGCATATTGTTGGGTCTGTTTTTTTAATCCAGGTTACCAGCCTATGTCGCTTTATTGGTGAGTTTAAACCATTAACATTTAGGGTTACTATTGATATATGGTTTGTACTTCCCGTCATGTTTGTTTGTTTATTTATTTATTCATTTTTAATTTGGTTTGTTTTTCTCACTTTGATTAGTTTTTTTTTTCCCCCATTTACTGATTTGCCCAAAATGCTTTGCAGTACTGGTTTTCTGGCTGCAAATTTTTTTATCTTTTGTTTCTCTTGAAAGATTTTTATTTTGTTGTCAAACCTGAAGCTTAATTTTGCTAGATACAATATTCTTGGTTGTTACCCATTATCTTTCAGCGTTTGAAATACATGTTTCCAGGATCTTCTCACTTTCAGCGTCTGTGATGAGAAATCAGCCATTAACCTAATTGGTTTACCCCTGAATGCAATCTACCTCCTTTCTCTTGTAGCTTTTAATATTCTCTCCTTCTTCTGTATGTTGGATATCTTCATAATAATGTGTCTTGGAGTTGGTCTATTGTGGTTCTGTATGTTTGGCGTCCTGTAAGCTTCTAGGATTTGGACATCCATTTCATTTTTCATGTCTGGAAAGTTTTCTAAAATTATTTCATTCAGCAGAATGCTCATTCCTTTGGTTTGGACCTCTATACCTTCCTCTATCCCAATGACTCTTAAGTTGATTTTTTTTTTATGATATCCCATATCTCTTGGATGTTTTGCTCGTGGTTTCTTACCAGCCTTTCTGAGTTGACTAGACTGTTTTTGAGATAATATATTTTGTCTTCATTGTCTGATGTTCTGACTTCTACTTGATCTACTGTACTAGCAATACTCTCATTTGAGTTTTTAATTTGGTTTATACTTTCCTTCATTTCTAGGATTATTGTTTGATTCTTTTTTTATAAACTCTATCTCCTGGTAGAGTTGTTGATTTGCTTCTTGAATTTGTTTATGTAATTCGTTGTTGAGGTGTTCTTTCATTGTTTCGATTTGCTGTCTAATGACCTCTTTAAGATTCCATTCCATCTGTGTCAGGTGTGCCTTGAGTTCTTTATCTGACCATTTTTCTGATACCTCTAGGTTCTCCTGTAGATTTAGACTGTCCTGCATTGTTTGTAATCCTTTTTTTCCCTTGTTTTTTCATGATGCTCGTGTTATTTTCTGGCTCTGTTTGACTGCTGTGTTACTATTTACTCCTATAAATTTGTTTTGGTTTTGTATATCTCCAGGATCTCTCCTTTGTGATGGGAGACTAGGTCTAGAGATGTTGGGTTTTATTGTACTTTAAAGCAAATACATTCATTTCATAAATGACATACAGATTCTGATGGCGTGTAGCGATCAACGGTTTGGTCTTAGGACTTTATGTTTGGGTCGGGTGATATGATGGTATGGGGATTGGTATATCTTAGCAACCTTGGAAGATTGCTCTACTGAAGTGGGATATTTACAGGAGAATGGACTGGAGTATTTGGGGGTAGCTAGGGACTTGGGAGTACTGTAGACCGCCTTGGAACATTCACCTATATGCGTTTAGTAAATTACACATAATTGAAGTCGTAATGCTTGGGAGGAAAGCTAGGGGAAGCAGAAGGAAGAAGTCATTAAAGAGAGAGATAGAGAGAAAGAAAAAATAGGAAGAATAAAGGAAAAGGGGAAAAAATTAAAAGTTGAAACAAACAAACAAACAAACATAAATGCAGTCTTAAGAGTTTCTTCCAGTAAGTGGAGCTGTGCCCTCTGGGCCAAACTTCTGCCCTCAAGATGCAAGAAACAATCCCTGTGAGACAGCTCCTCCTCCCCAGCTGGGTGGCTCACCAATCCTGGTCGCCCAGGGCCATTCTTGGTCACCAGCAGTCCCCCCCACCCCCTCCACCCATGCTTCTCCAGCCCGCCAGGCCCCACTCACTGGTGCCATTTTCCACAGATCTAGCTACACTCCAGGCCTACAGCCCCCTGGGTACCCTGTTCTCTTGAAAGACTGGGCACTCTCTCTATTTGCTATTCACCCAGACCCCAAGGTTGTGGAGCACTGGAGCTGGGGGCCATTGGCTTATTTTGCCTAATTCCCTCAGGTAGCCACGCCCCCAGGAGCTTGTGAAAAAGGCCTCGGCTGTCAGCGCTGTGGTCGCCAATTTCACTGTGGAGGGATCCATCCCCCGAACTCTGATGACATCAGTTCTCTGCCAGGGTGGACCCTGGTTTCCTTGCCAGGGTGTCCGATGGGAAGAGTGGGTCTGGTCTGTATCTCCTAAATCCTACCTCAGCTCTCGGTCTGCTGGACCATGGAGGCTCTGTTGGCACCACTCAAAAGATCCTCCAAAGCTCCAAAGTTTTGTTTCTCTACTCTGCTCAAGGGTCTCTGTAGCACTGAGTCGCAGTGGGTGGGTGGCGGGTCACAAATCAACCAGCCAGTAACTCCACGCTCCAGGTGGCCTGGATTCACCCTTACCTGAGCACACTGTGGCCTCTGAGACACTCAAACTGCTCACTTAGGTACCACCTCAGCCCAACATTGCTAGGCGTTCTTGAGCAGACAGCATCCAGACATTCTGAAGTCTCTCTTTGCCAGCATAGCTGAGGAGGTCATGGGATTGCTCCTTCTGCACCCACCGCCATGTTCCAACTCCGGACATTTATTTTAATTAGAAAGTTACAGATTCTGTTATTTTGTGCTGTGATAGTAACATATCACAGAAACTTATATTTTATAGTTCAGGAAGCTGAGAGTCCAAGATCCATGAGACAGCATTTGGTGATAACTTTGTTGCCGGGTCATCCCATGGCAGAGGGTATAGAAGGGTAAGGGGGCACTAACTTACCCTGTTATGAAATCCTATTCCCACCATAACAGCATAATCCACTTATGAGGGCAGAGCCTCATCACCTCAACAAACTTACCTCATAATATTCTTTCAATGACATTCAATTACAATGTGAATTTTGGAAAGGACACAGAATCAAATCATAGCAGCCTTATTGACATGAAATAAAGATTATAACTTTATACCATCTAAATTTGGCACTACTGTAAAAAGAATCATAAACAGAGATAACATGTCAGCACATTTTGCATGGTGAAAACATTAGATGAAGAGAGGCACTTTGAAGAGAAGGGAGACCTATAAAAATACTTGGCTAAAATATGTACATATTTTTAAATAAAAATTTGAATTTAAGATATTCTTTATAATAATTCTCACTGAGTTTAACAGGTATATCACTAATTGTAGAAAGATTGTTTTCCTGATTAAAAATAGAATATGCTGAAAAGAGTCAACTGAGAAAATCAATATAGGCAAATATTAATTATAAAATTTAAGCATGACCAGGATTGTGGGAAATGCACTGAAGTTTTTAAATGAGATCTTCTTTAAAAATATATTCTTCAGAAAAAATATCTCTGACATGAGATTAAAGAACACATGAGGTTAAGAATCTGATAAAAGAACATGGATGTATACAAAGAGCTATCATTCTTCAAGAGTTTATAGCCAATATAAAGATTTTATCTTTTTTAAAGACACTTTGGTACTTATGAACTTTTGGAATTTTAATTTGCATAAAATATTTTATTTAAAATGAGTTTTTGACTAGAACCATTGTAGTAAATAAAACCATTACTTGTTTTAAATGGAACTGTTGTTTTACTAGAATCATTACTTTTTAACTATACCATTGTATAGGCATAGTGAGAAAATAAAGCTAATCATCAGCCAATATAAAATGTTCCAAATAATGTATAATTTTATTGTTGACTACTTCTTATGCCCCCCTTTTTTAACTCTCAAAATGTTTCACTTTAAATCTTAAATTATATGGTCACAACATAAAATTTAGACAAATAATCTAAGTTTTTCAGTGGGTGTTTAATACCAAAACACAACACCAAAAAAAAAAAAAAAAAAAAAACCCAACAAAACAAAACAATGTGTCAGACCTCTATTGAGAGCTGATGGAAGCTTATGGAAGGCCCATAAGGCTTGAAATCTTACATTTATTGATGTTGCTAGAGGTGAACATGAGTCACTGAGAAAAGGTTAAAGTATTCACAGTATCAGCCACTTAATATGGGAGAATATTTAATAGTTATTGTACAAATCTGGTAGACTCAAATGATACCTGTCTACTAATTGCAAATAGTATGTATTTTGAATTCGTTATACCATCTTGATATTGTTGAAAGCCCAGTCCAATAAGGAGGACACGGTTTTGAGAGAAAAGAAAACGAAGGCTTATTGCTTTGCTAACAAAAGAGAAACACAGGAGACTTCTGTCCCAAAGGCTGTGATTCTGCCTATCAGCAGGAACAGGGGGCTTATAAAGAGGTGATTCAAAGGCTACATTCTACATGTTCTCTGTCTGGAGTTGTAATTCACTTGTTAATTTGGGAGAATCATTTCTGAGATCTTCTGGTACCATCCCCAAAGTCTGGATTACGTCCTTCCTTTGGTGGGTGTGAACACTCAGAGAGAGAAATCTGCCTGAAATGGGGAAAAAAAGATAATCCTGTTCCCCCTGAAATTAGGGAGGAGCAATGAGAGAAGAAGAGAATAAAAACATATCTACTTAAAAAATGAGTTACAGGGGCAGAGCGTCAAGAGCTCTATTCAAAACACAAGGTGGACCACTGTTACATTGACACCAGATGTGTGTAGCACTATTAGAATATAATGTGTGAAAGCATTCAATATGAACAAGAAGACTGCTATTAACAAGGAAATGCTGCATTGATGTGCATGTGCCCACACACACACACACACACACACACACTCTTCTGGTAATTAAGAATACAAAGCAATGGTAAACCATTTATTCCACAAGTAGTTGATGAGTACAAAGCATATGCCAGGCCCATTTTTGAATATTTTGTATTTGTTCAAAAAATGACTTAATTTCCAAAAATCATACCATAGGGTAAGATATAAAATTTCAGCAGATGGAGTGCGGCTGCACTTGAAATTGCATCCGGGTTTATTTTGAGAATGACTTGTAAGTATTAAGTGGCCACATGTGTGACACATTTTATTTTGTTTCTTTACTGATATTAAAAAGCCTACATGTTCAATACTGGAAGTAAATTAATAATCTCCTTGAAAGATACAGGTATTTGGCAGAAATGCAAGACAACTTTTACAAAGAAGAGAGGTGAAACTAGTATTTGCATGTTGCGGCCCCTACAATGATTGAATAAAGGAGTTTTGAAGACTTTTGAAAGACACTAGGGGAAAAAAGCAGATGAGCAATACACTAGAGCCTGGGTCCCTGACCTGTTACCAAAAACCTTGGGCCTTGTCCCTGATGGCCATGCAATAATGAGGAGAAGGTTTTGAGATCGAGGTAAAAGGAGGTTTATTGCTTTGCCAGCAAAGGGGAAACACAGGGGACTCCTGTGCCAGAAGATTTGATTCTGCCCATCAGGGAAAACAGAGGGTTTTTAAGGAGACTATTCAAAGGCTCCACTCCAGGTGTGCCCTGACCAGGGGTTCCCAGGTGCATCCTGAGTGTGTGTTATGATTAACTAGTTGATCTGGGAGCTCATCACTTCCTAGTTCTTCTGGTGACTTCTCCTTCCTGTGGAGAACAGATAACTCAAGGTAATCTTGTTCCCTGCCCCCAGGTTAGGGAGGGAGACAGGGAGAAGGGGAAAAGAAAAACATTTCCCTTTTAAAATAAGCAGCCAGGGTTATATTCAAAAGGTAAAGTGGACCACTCTTACAACCCCAATGCTTTCACCAATCAACTTCACCATCCAAATTGAATTGTCAAGTGTGTTTATGTCCAGCTGAATATTTCTGGAAAAAAAAATAGTTCTCTTTTTCGTCAGGTCTTGACCCCCAAACTGTCAAGTTCCATAGACAGAGTAAGTGCCTGGGTCCTTGGTCCACTTAGGGTGCATATGACCACTCTTTATGCAGTCAGTACCTTTATGACTGCATTGATTGCCTAGGAGATAATAGAATGAGAATCCTAGAAATGAGTGGACCTAGAACCACTCCTCATTTGCCTTTTGGCCTTTGATGTTCCCAGAGCGAGTTTTTGAACTGGGCACGGTATTTGTTGGTAAAAGGCAGTTGTGGCTGTTTTTTCCCCAACCCATCTCCAACTCTCTCCTTGTTTTCCCCCAACCCCTGTCCTTGCCTAGCCCTAACCTATCCTAAACTTTCCAGGGACATCCAGACCCATCGATCATCAACTTGGGTCAAACCATGCACCCCCTCGCATGGATCTAGACGGGCAGAAGACACCTCCCAGACCGGGCACTCTGGAGCACAGCGCCCAAAATCCACAGCTTCCTCTGCAGGTAAACCACCTCGCATTGGAGATTATACAGTAGTGAAAACCCTTGGCAAGGGGACCTTCGCCAAAGTCATGCTGGCCCGTCACGTCATCACAGGTAAAGAAGTGGCAATCAAGATCATCGATAAGAGACATCTGAAGCCACAAGTCCTCCAAAAGATGTACAGAGAGGTGAGAATCCTCAAGATGTTAGACCACCCACACATCCTGAAGCTCTATGAAGCTCTGGACTGCGAAAAAGCACTCTGTTTGGTCCTGGAGTACGCCAGTGGAGGGGGAGTTTTGGACTATCTGGCCAACAAAGGAAGGCTGCAGGAAGAGGAGGCAAGATCTATATTCCGGCAGGTCGTGTCTGCAGTCCAATATTGTCACCAAAAGCAGGTCGCCCACCGAGACCTGAAGGCGGACAATCTGTTATTAGACTCACAGATGAAGATCAAGGTAGCCGATTTTGGACTCAGCAACGTGTTTACACTTGGGTGTAAACTCGACACGTTTTGCGGCAGTCCACCCTACGCAGCTCCAGAGCTCTTCCAGCGCATAGAGTATGATGGTCCCGAAGTGGATGTGTGGAGTCTTGGCGTGGTTCTGTACACCCTAGTCACCGGGTCGCTTCCTTTTGTTGGGGACAATGTGAAAGAAATTAGAGACAGAGTGCTACAAGGTAGATACCAAATCCCTCTGTACATGTCAACAGAATGTGAAAATCTGCTGAAACGCTTGCTGGTGCTCAATCCAACTAAGCGCAGCACCCTGGCCGAAATTATGGGAGACAGGTGGATCAACAGAGGCCTTGATGTCCTCCAACCTCTTGTTGGTCCAGAGGTGGCCATCTCCCACAGAAACATCTCATTGGCTAAGCTGCTGCCAAGCAGGGTCCTCAGAAAGAGCACCAGCTGGCCTCCTCACCGCAAAGTGCAGCGAAGCGTTTCCACTCAGAAGCAGACACAGTCCCTGGACCATGCTGGAACTGGGCCATATCTGACCAGCACTGCCCAGAGTCACCTCAGAGAACATCAAATGGCCTCCCAGAAATCCGGTGGCAGTGCTGTGGGAGGAAAGGGAATTTCTCCAGCCAGGCCCCTACCTGGGATCACCACCAGTCCCAAGGAGCTGGAGACTCCTGAATTCAAGAAAATGCCTGCTGCCTACAAGAGCAGCACACCATCTGGAGGGAAGACACTGTGGAGTAAGTACATTGCCGCAAAACAACCAAAGCAGACACACGTTCAGTGAGCCGGAATGGTCAGAACAACAGCAACTTCCCTGCTCAGAGCCCTCCAGTGACTTCAACCCACAGTGTCCCAAGTACCTCCACCCGGGGCTGCATCTGCTTCCCCAGAGCCAGTGTCCTTCGTAGAATGTTCCACCGCCAGCCCCGGGAATCCGAAACTGCAACACACGAAGGTCCTCTTGCCTCACCCAGCTGCTTCCATCCAGCTGAAGCATTGCCCCAGACTCAAAGAAGAGGCACCACTGGTGTTTTTACTAAGTTAACATCTAAATTCACAAGAAGGCCTCCAACTGAGTCTGAGAAGACCCTGAGATATAAGGGTTCAAGTCAACATGTCTCTGCTGAGCAGAGAAAGGAGAACCAACAAGCAAAACCTCGCTCCCTGCACTTCACCTGGGGCATGAAAATCACTAGTGCCATGGATCCTAGTGACATCATGAGGGAAATCCGCAAGGTGCTAGATGCCAACAACTGCCAATATATGCACAAGACGCCCTTTCTGCTCCTTTGCATCTATGGAGATGGGTACACCGAGAAAGTGGTGCAGTGGGAGATGGAGGTATGTAAACTTCCCAGACTGTCTTTAAACGGGGTCCGCTTTAAGCCCATATCAGAGAAATCCAAGGCATTCAAAAATATTGCTTCCAAAATTGCCAGTGAGCTCAAACTGGAACCCAGTCATTAGGATGTAAATTCAGCAGCAACTTGAAGTGTTTTCCTCAACACTGATGGACATATAGAATAACATTTAGGCAATTGTTGGGAGCAATGACTAAATTAGGGTTCTTTAATTGTCCCGGGAGGTGATGCCCCTCGTGGGAATTCTTGATGCAAGGCGCTGGTCAAGACTGCCCAGTTTCTTGGGTGAAGACCTGTTCCACCTGTCCCACCCAGGGAGCTATTCAGTTCTTGAACTTGTGGTTCAGGTGGCAGGGCTCAGCGGTGGAACGTTATGGGCACAAGCTGCTACTCATAATTGGACTGGTCATACATATGACCTTGGTTTTGATGGCTTTGCCCAAATTTTCTCACAAAAAAAACCTTTTAAGTATGAAACTTATGTAACAAATGTGTTGAGCTGGCTCCTGACCGTTGCACTCTACCAGAGTGTAATCGACACCCAGTTCCAGCTTTTTCACCCCTTGGATTTCTGACTTTTCTCATCCCCCATGGCCCCTCATCTGGTTTCCTCAATCAACCACCCTGCAGGTGGCAGCAGATGGGACCCAAACAGGCTATTACACTATGGAGTGCAATGACCACAAGCCTTCTCAGTGTGATCAATGAAAGGGGTTTTGGGAGAAAGTTTGTGCAAAGCAAGCAAAACAGGGTCATAAGTAGGGGCAACCCGATTATGATGACCAGCTTGCTTTGATAAACTTCTAACTCCTACACCTGGCATCCAAACCTCATGGTCAAGAAGTGAAGAACTCCATGAGTGTCACAGAACCTCTGTTTGAACAGATAAGTTCCCATAGCAACTGGGAAGTCTCAAGGGGCGCTTTCCCACTGAGAGTTCCCAAGACAGCTTTTGGCTTTATCACAGAACATTTCAAAAACACTAATTCGCTGCTTCAGCGAGGCATTGTCATTTCCATCTTCCATCTTCTACTTCATGACCTGAAAATCTGAGGTGAAGAACACCACACCTGGGAGTGGAAGCTGGCCTTTACTATGAATGCCCTAAAGTCATGAGACACCAAAAAAGAAAAAGAGAGAGAAAGTTGCATTTGAGACATGCCAATTCCTCACAGTACAGTGCTCCATCAATGGCTTTCATTTCAGAGGTACTCCATCTCTCCTTACATGCTCTCCATTGGATGATCCCAAGACAGCCATTGCCTCTGTCACAGACCTGTAAAGAACTCTAATGCAGTTGCTGCTTCAGACAGTCATTGTCATTTCCATCTTCCATCTTCTACATCATGACAGTAAAATCTGAGGAAAAGAACACCATGACTGGGAGTGGAAACTGCAGTTTACTATGAATGCCCTAAAATCAAGGGACACCAGAAAAGTAAGAAAGAAAGAGCCATTTAAGACCTGCAAATTCCTAACACTACAGTAATGCATTAAAGGCGTCCATTTCAGTGGTAATCCATTTCTCCTAACATATTCTCCATTGAATGTTTCCAAGACAGACCTCGCCTCTGTCAGATCATTCAAGAACCCTAATCCAGTAGCTGCCTCATACTAGCATTGTTGTTTCCATCGTCCATGTTCTACATCATGACTGAGAAATCTGAAAAAAAAAAAAAAAAAGAACACCAGGAATGGGAGTGGAAACTGCCTCTACTATGAAAGACTTAAATTCATGGAACTCCGAAATAGAAAGATGCACTTGAGACCTGCAAAAACTTAACACGTCAGTGCTCCATTAATGGGTTTCAGTTCAGAGTTAATGCATCTCTATCACATGCTCTCCATGTAATGTGCCCAAGACAGCCATTGCCTCTGTCACAGACCCATTCAAGAACCCTAATCCAGTTGCTGCTTCATACAGCCATTGTTGTTTCCATCTTCCATCTTCTACATCATGACAGAAAAATCTGAGAAAAAGAATATCAGGCATGGGAGTGGAAACTGGCCTGTACTACGAATGCCCTAAAGTCATGGGACACCGAAAAAGAAAGAAAGGTAGACCCATTTGAGACCTGCAAATTCCTAACACTATAGTGCTCCATCAATGGCTTTCAGTTCAGAGGTAATCCATCTCTCCTAACATGCACTCCATTTAATGTGCCCAAGACAGACATTGCCTCTGTCACAGAACATTTCAAGAACTCGAATGCAGTTGCTGCTTCAGACAGGCATTCTTGTTTTCATCTTCCATCTTCTACATCATGACAGTAAAATCTGAGAAAAAGAATACCAGGCATGACGTGGAAACTGGCCTGTACTACGAATGCCCTAAAGTCATGGGACACCGAAGAAGAAAGAAAGGTAGACCCATTTGAGACCTGCAAATTCCTAACACCATAGTGCTCCATCAATGGCTTTCAGTTCAGAGGTAATCCATCTCTCTTCACATGCTCTCCATGGGATGTGCCCAAGAGAGCCATTGCCTCTGTCATAGAACATTTCAAGAACCCTAATGCAGTTGCTGCTTCATACAGGCATTGTTCTTTCCACCTTCCATCTTCTACATCATGACCTGAAGGTCTGAGGAAAAGAACACCACGCCCGGGAGTGGAAGCTGGCCTTTACTATGAAAGACCTAAAAGTCATGGGATCCTGAAAAAGAAAGAATGACCCATTTGAGACCTGAAAATTCCTAACAGTTCAGTGCTCCATCAATGCCTTTCAGTTTAGAGGTTATATGTCTCTTCTAACATGCTCTCCATTTCATGTTCCCAAGATAGCCATTGCCTCTGTCACAGAAGATTTCAAGAACACTAACCCAGCTGCTACTTCAAACAGTCATCATCATTTCCATCTTCCATCTTCTACAGTATGCCAGTAAAATTTGGGGAAAAATACTCCAAACCTGGGAGTGCATGCTGGCCTGTACTCTGAATGCCCTGAAGTCATGGAACCCCCAGAAGAAAGACAGACCCATTGGAGACCTGCCAATTCCTAACAGTTCAGTGCACCTCCATTGGCTGTCACTTCTGAGGTCATACATCGCTACTAACATGCTCTTCATTTAATGTTCCCAAGACAACCATTGACTGTCACAGAACTTCTCAGAATCCTAATCCAGTTGCTGCTCCACACAGGCATTGTCATTTCCTTCTTCCATCTTCTACATCATGACACTGAAATCTGAGGAAAAGAACACCATGCCTGGGAGTGGATGCTGGCCTTTACTATGAAAGACCTAAGTCAGAGAAGAAAAGAAAGACCTACTCGAGACCTGCCAATTCCTAACACTTCAGTGCTCTGTAATTGGCTATCACTTCTGGGGTAATCTATCTCTCTTAACATGCTCTCCATTCACTGTTCCCAAGATAGCATTGCCTCTGTCACAGAACATTTCAAGAACCCTAATCCACTTGCTCCTTCAGACAGGCATTGTCGTTTCCATATTTCCATCTTCTACATCATGACAGTGAAATCTGAGGAAAAGAACACCAAGCCTGGGAGTGGAAGCTGGCCTGTACTGTGAATGCCCTAAAGTCATGGGACCCTGAGAAAGAGTTAAGGACGCCTGTAAGAAATACAATTCCAAACAGTTCATTGCTGCAAAATGGCTTTCAGTTAAGAGGTAATCCATCTCTTTTAACATGCTCTCCATTTAATGTTTCCAAGACAGCCATTGCCTCTGTAACAGAACATATCAAGAACCACATTCCATAACACATGGAGTGCATGTGACCTTCAGCAAAGTTTCTCACTCAATGTATTTTGAGTGATCCTTTCACAAGTGTACAGGTCTCCCTTGACTTTGTTAGGAACACAATAGTGCATTTTAATGGTATGTTCTTTCTGATTGACACACACTCTGTTCACACATTCATACCATTGTCACGACTGCAGCCAAGCACTGTGATGAATTGGTAGCTATATTTTAATCTTTAGGTGACGTAGCATACAAGATTTCTATCATTTTGTTCCTAAATTCTTATATTTGAACATTAAATAGTACTCATAATTTTATTTTTTGTTCCATATATCATAAACACTCATTTTTTATTCTCTGCTTTATAACATATAGATATTAGTACTTTTGACTCTTCCTCTGAGTTCTTTCAACTTCTGTTATTTGTTTTTTTATTTTTTAATTGTCAAGATTGGACAATTATCTAGTATATATTACATGGAAAAGGAAATCCATTAACTCTTAAATTTAAAGAATATTTCCATTCTGCGTATGTCATGATGGTTAAAAAAAAATAGACCAACAAAGTTTCATGCCTAATAAAGATAGTCTTTCAGAACCGGATCTTTTCGTCACTAAAAGTCTCCTGTCAAGAAACCTCAGAATATTCAATATGAGATGTACATATGTCCTTAAGAGATGAACACTGACACTGAGGCCAATCAGGTCAATCAAGTCAAGAAAGCCAATCTTATTGGCTACCCATGTCAGGTAGGTGGTCTGACATTATTTTCTACTAATCTCATGTTTCCACTGACTTCTTTGTGTACACACAGGTGTTCGTGCTCTGCCTCCGTGAATTTATACTGACAACATGCAATTCAGGTGTTGCTTGCTTCTTTAATCTTGTAAATATGGAAAACTACTCACAGTACTTATGATACTATGATTTTGTAATTCCATTTCACTGAGTAGTGTCTTTTTTCTCCCTTTCTTTTCTTTCCCTTTTGGTACTGGAGATTGATCCCAGGTGTGATTTACCACTGGACTACATTCTCAGTCCTTTTTAATTTTTATTTTTCAGAAAGGGTCTCACTAAGATGTGAAGGTTAGCTTTCAACTTGTGATCCTTCTGTCTTGGTCTCCCAAGTGGCTGGGATTACAGGTGTGAGCCGCATGTACCTGGCATTTCATTTTATTTCACTGGTTCAGTGGTTTGTTTTCCAATTACCTCCCTTTTCCTCATCAATATTTGCCTTCAGTATATAATCTTTCCTTCAATTTGTCCTATTTCATCTAATGCAGTTACATTGAACAAAGTAGGATCATGATGAGAACAAAAATTCCAAGAGGTGCGTGGTGCACAACTATCATAACAGCTACTCAGGAGACTGAAGCAGGAGGATCAGAAGTTTGAGGCCAGCCTCAGCAATTTAAAGAGACCCTGACTCAGAAAATGAAAAAGGTTGGTGATGTAGCTCAGTGGTAGAGTGCTCCTGAGTTTAATCCCTAGTACCTAAAAAGTAAAGAAAATAATAGAGAAAACACAAGAATTTCTCTTGGGGAATCACAGAAACCCCAAGTTCCACATGTTAAAAACTAAATTCATCAACCAGAATCCAGCCTGTATTCCCCATTTAAGGACACCCAATGCCAAGACCAAAAACCCAGAAGGCTTCCTACTTCCCTTCTTTTGGTCTCTGTCCTTCCTGCTGTGAAGTCTTATCTGCTGGGCCCTATAAAGACCAGTTGGATCGGGGCAGTTTTCTCTGTCCTCACTTCTGCTACCTCTGTTTGGTCCCAATGAAATTTTGAATTCTCTTACTGAAGAACTGTTCCCTCTTCATTGTTCTCCTTGCATACAGTCTTGCTCACCTTCACACCCTTCTCCACTTCCAGTCCGAACAATCTGTTTTATATTCAGATCCAGCAAAAATCAGTTTTTGCTTGAAAGCCTTATTTAATGCCTCAAATCCCTGACATGCTATTTGTGGCCTTTCATTGTCTAGATTCTGTTTATGTTATCAGCATAGTATCATAACACCCCTTCTCTAACTCTTACTTCAGTGACACTGAATGATTCCTGAGCCTCTAACATGACCTTTGTATTTGGCCCTTAGGTTTTTGCATATTGTGACCCCTCTCAATGGAACATTCTTTCATCACTCTCCTCTCCTGGCCAACTTGTATATCTAGGTTCCCTATAGATGACAAACCCTTCCTGAACATCCTCTTAATTATCTTTCCAAATATAATGTTGTAGTTACTTCTCAGAATACCTATATCATGCTGACATGATCTCTATATCTATTTTACCTTGAACTGTGCAATTCTCACAGAGATTATATCTTATTTGCTGCTTATCCTCAGCACCTGTTACAGATAGTGACATTGCCTTGTATCTGTTTGCTAAGTGGATGAATGACAAGTCCTTTGTCATACATTCCTTGATTCTCTCAGCATAATTGCAGTAGAACAGATGACTATCTCATGGGGTGATATAAGTATCATTTTTTTAAAGGAATGGATTAATTAGATAACATCTTTAAACTGCTCTTAGGGCTTGGAGAGAAATACATTTACTGTCATTGAACATTTGGAAGTAAACACTATGACATCAGCTTTGTCTAACCCTTTTCAAGCTACCAGTCTTCATCTATCACTTTCAAGAATTTCCACATGACTAAAAAAATCTCTTTTCTATATGCTTTAATTCTCTAGTTGCCTCAGTTGGAGGAAAAAAAAATGTTTCTTGTATTTTGGGCGGTATATATGATGATCTTCATAGTTATTCTAAGGCATATTACATTAGGATAAACTTGTTTCAACTATTTAAATTTAAATCCAAAAACTCATTTGTTTTCTCTCAGAAATCTATTTGAAATCTTTCAGCAATCCAGTTATTTAAACAAAAAACTTTCCAAAAGCAATATTGTCGTCTAATGCCCTAATTAACCTCTACAAACTGTATTTGTATTCCCTCTGCAGTGATTTCAAAATCTCTATGGTCCCTGGAATGCTTTTTATATCAATGGGAGAGCTGGGTTCTACTGAAAGGTTTGGATTTATTGTCTAAGTTTTGCTTATCCAATTCTTCCATGGTACTATATCCATTGTTAAAAGCAAACATTTTCTTTTCTATAATCTATTCGTTGTTCTTTAAGATTTGTTCTACTTGTTTTCTAATAGCAAATCATTACTGTTTGAGGGAATTTTGGTTGAATTTCCCACATTTAAAAATTACTCTGAAAATCATATTGTCAGACTAAAATTTGGCATAGAAATCAGCACAATAAGACTTTTAACATCTATGAGTCCTGCCTCCTTCATTAGTTAGATCAACTCTGACTGAACACAAGAATAATGGCAGGAAGAAGCTGGGCCTAGGCAAGCTCCCTTCCCAAACTCACACTCAACTTAAGTAGTTTTACTTTTATTTGTTGCATATGTTGGACAGCTGAGTAAAGACTTCATTTGGGAAAAAAAATTAATGGAAAACTTTGCTACAAAATATTTTAAGATCTTTTACCTTAGAGCCTGGGTAAGGCTTAGAGAAGATAGAATACAAAGCTCCCTAAGGGCACCAATCCTTTTGGTTATATCTCCAATATGGCCTATTTGATATATAGTTGGCTAGCTTATCAACATTGTGCATCATACTCAGAATATCTAGGACAATTCCCATATATTATAAATGGACCCAAGGCTCATGCATTGCAGTAATTGTCCAGTGTGTGCCTTTGAAACCTCTTTCATACCTAAGGCTGAGGAAGGCTGGTTTCTTTCATTGAGCATTCTGAAAGAGTGTGTGTGTGTGTGTGTGTGTGTGTGTGTGTGTGAGAGAGAGAGAGAGAGAGAGAGAGAGAGAGAGAGAGAGAGAGAGAGAGAACCTCAAATAAGCCTGACTTGGAGATTATTCTGTTTATATGTACACTTTTAATATCCACTAAAATTTTTAAATATCTCAAATATGCAAGTACATGGCAGAAGCAAATCAGACCTTTTGTATTTCTGTTTCTTTCCAACAGTGCTCCTGCGGTTTTGTCACTTGAGGAGGACATTGCTTCGATTGCATATGACCATCATCTCTTCTCCAGTCTAGAATTAGTGGTACTATTACTTTTGGGAAAATGGCCTTGCTGTACTGTATGGATTCTAGGGAAAAGGGTATCAATACAGCCCTCTGGAAACTCATGGACACTGAGTCACATGACCCTGTTAGCCAAACAAAACTGCTACTATGGGATTTGTACTTCATTTAGAAAGAAATAAGTTCTCTTCTCTTAGACTAGAGGGATGAGGTGAGCCTGAATAATTGCAGACCGTTCTTCGTTACCTGTAGGCTTGCTCAGCTTTCATCTGTGTGATAGAAGGATTGATTTATATATGCTCATGCTAGTATGCTTAGGTGGCAAGGAGTCTATCTCCCTGGCAGGATGCCTGTAGCATGACTCTACCCAGGAAAAAAGAAGTTTCTTCAGAGAATTTTTTTTCTGAGATGTTTTCAGTTTTAGTTTTCCCATTTCCAAGCACTGCCATCTCTTCTTGCTGCAGGAAAAGTTTGGAAACTAAAAGTCAAGTTTTATGACAGATTGCTCAGCAATCTGTCCTGTGGTTGGGATAAAAACAAACATGTATTTAGTAGTTTTTTACCTTTTAACTCTCTCTTGTTTGCAATATATTGAACAAATACATACAAATTATTCCAATATGCAATCTACAAATGTTCACTGTAAAATATATGCTTTTCCTGTAACCTGTTTTCTTGTACTGATGACATGGGTCTATCTTATAAGCTTCTGCATTAAAAAGAATTAAACCAATAATCCATTTAAGTCATTATAATTAAGCTACCTCCCTATTTCTTCTCCTGTGAAAATATGAGCATAACTATCCTTAAAGTGGAATTCGTTTTCTTTTATACTTCTATAAGTTAGTTTCTATCTTCTCAAATAATGTGTACTCGACAGACTCCTTTTCACTCCCCGAAAAGTAGAGTGGAAAAGATAATTTGAAATTAAGGATAGTAGAGTGGAAATGATAAATTGGAGTTAAGGATCACAATAAAGTCTGTGCTAACACTTTGGTCCTTATTGCTCAACTTAACTGAGTCCTGCTCCTCTTAGACCTTAAAAGAGTTCTATGGTTGAAAAAAAAAGAGCATCATTTTATCAGAGGACATTTCATTAATAACACAAATGAGCAAAGCTTGAAAATTTCTTTATTCTAATTTATTTTTATTCTTAGTACTGAGAATTGAACACAGAGCCTTTTCCTGGGAAGGCAAGCATTTTACCCGCCAGCTACATCCCAAGTCCTGAGAGTTTCTTCATTCTAAAGATACAATGGAAATACATAATTCCAATGTATAACTTCCCTAAATTTTATTTGCTTCTCTGTTGTTACAAGGATAAACTCTCATAACCAGACTACCTGTGGCTACAAAGCCTGGCATTGTTTGTTACTTCTGAATTGCTCCAACCCTGCAATAATTGATCACCTTCCTGACAAAGGGATGCTGCAAGCTGGAGCTAAAATGCATATTTAAGTCATATAAAATGTCAAAGGATTTTAGATTTATATGTGATATTGGAATCTAAATATCAGCTTTGGCATGTGATTTAGATTGAGAGGTTGTAACGTTTTTCTCCTACTGGCAAAGATTTCCCTGGGGATTTTATTTATTTTTGTTTGTTTGTTTGAATTAGGTGTATCAAAGTGCTTAACTACAAGCACAAAGAATTATGTTTATACTTAAGCAAATGATTTAGCTCCTTATTATAAGTTGAGGTAACACATGTTTGGAACGGAGTTCTGAAGATATTGTAATGTCCAAAAATGCTTGTAAATTATTTCCCTTGTTAACTTTCCAATGCAAATCTTTATTAACTATACTTATATAAGAGAACAACAATCCAAAAAAAAAAAAAAAAAAGGGACACAATCAGAAATACAGTTTTCAACCCCCTGGGCTGCAAGGGTTTTTCAGTCCCAAAGAAGGAACTTTGAGGATTCAACAGATAGGGTTTGGATATTTTATGACTCACGTGCTCCTTGGTGGTGGCAAGCCAGGATACAATAGAGGGCTGCACGGCATGTACAAGCAGGGGAATATATGGGATAGGCTGCTTGCTCACTGCAGAGGTGAAGTTCTTCAGAAGTTTTATGAGTACATTCTTCTACTTTATAACCAAGGTCACTCTGCTTTATTCCTCACCTGAAGATTAGAGAGAAAGGAAACAACCAGTTGCTCCTCTCCATTTTCTTCCTTATCACATTCTTTGGAGTCCTTACCTCACTGCCAGGAACAATAGCCTTCCTAGGTACTGACTAGTGTTTACCCCACACAGAGATAGGAAATACAGGTAAAGGAAGAGCCAGCTCCTCACAATAAGAATAAGGATTCTTGCCAGATGTGGTGGCCTATGCCTGTAATCCGAGAAATTGAGGTTGAAGCAAGAGGATCTCAAGTTCAAGGCCAGCCTAGCAACTTAGGAGAGGTCCTATCTCAATAAAAACTAACAAAAAACAAAAAAAACAAAAACTGGGATATAACTCAGTGGCTTAATTCCCCTGGGTTCACCCACAGTATTAGGAAAAAATAAAAAAGGGATTCTCACAAATCATGTAATTAACAGAAGAAATAATAAATCTTAAAAATATATATTTTGATTTTTAATTGACAGAGCTAATTGTACATACTTATGAGACACAGGTGATATTTCAAGATGTGTATAAAATGTGTAACAATGTGTCAGGATCATATCAATTTAATTGGCATATATCCTCAGGTATTTATCTGTCTCGGTGCTTGGAACATTCAAAATACTCTATTAGTTATTGGTAATATTTAACTGCTGTCAAACATAGTTATTTACTATGCTATAGAACATTAGAAGTTACTCCTCTCATCCAACTGCACCCCTGTACTTCTCCTCAACCCTTCTTCTTCTACTCCCTTCCCAGGCTCTGATTACCACAGTTCTATTCTCCAAAGAAGTAAACAACTTATCTTTGCCGCCCAATATTGGAATGAGGCTGTTGTTATTGAAAACTTAACTGCTATATATTTTGAGGTACTCACATATTACAGCAACTTAAGTTTCCACATTTTCATTAAATACTTCAAGGGTAAATGGAATGGCTAAAGAAGACTTTTCCCCACCCAAAGCCTTGCCTAGTTTTCATTAACAAATAAGAACTACTCAAATACCATTATCAGATATTCTTACCAATACTATACATTGCTTATTTAAAAGTCTTTGCAAGCCTATAATTATCATTATGTTCACATACATTGTGTTCAAAGTGTATAGTTTTTTTCTAGCTCTCTAGACAAATATGCCAAGCAGCATTTAGAATTGAACAATGAAAACTTCTTAAATGTACAAAACACAGTAAAATGTGAACAAATACCAAGAATATTTTAGCTTTCGATAAGATGATTTTGAATTGAGAGAAAAAGGCCAATAGAACTAAGTTCTGTATTACTTTCTGAAATCAAGACATCTCTGTGGTCTAAATGCATCTTACTAGGCAAATCAGAGTTAATGTTGGCATCCCAAGGAGGCACAGAATGAAATGCAAAAAAAAAAAAAAAAAAAATTGATCTAGTCCATTAACTGTATAAATAAAAAAATAAAAATCTCTGCTTATCAGATAACATATCTGATAACTTCATGGATCATTAAAAGTATTGAGAGGCTTATCTGCAATATGGGTTTTGAGGTTCTTTAACATACTCTTTATGGGGGAAAAATGCATCATTTATTCCCAGTGAATTCAAAACCATTTCTTCTTTGTAATTCTAGATCAGGTTTTACATTTGGCTTTTGCTGAGAGGACTTATTGTGCCTTGGGGGTGTGGGCAATTTACAGAGGGCAAATTTGCCTTTCTTCATTCAAACTGTCCTTCCCAATCCCTTTCCAGTTTGGGGGTGTTATGGTGGTGAAGATGGAAAATGCATCTCCACTTCTCCACTTCCCTAAGTCAGGAGCTGAATACCCTTGTTCATATCTTCCATCCACTTTTCTCCTAAAACCCAGACTCCCATGTCATTGGTATATTGCCTTTAAGGAGTTTTTGAGGAAACATGGTGATAAACAGTGAATGTTTGAAAGTTTCACTTTGCATGGTTGTTTTCAGCTATGAGAATATATGTAATCTCAAGTCAGTCTCTAAATAGA